CTTAGCGGGACAGTAAAATTTGCTGCTTTTTAATAAATAAAAAATTAACTAACTATTATATAATAATTATCTTTGTATAACAAGATGCGCCGTATTAAGTTTGATATTAATCAATTAATTGAATTTTAATTATAAGTTGTTATTCTTTTATTGTGTTGAGTTAAAGTAATAAAAATAATACTTTTGATATATGCTTTTCGATTTTGATAATGCGTATATATTAGAATTGCCGCGTATATATTAGAATTAGCGAAGAACACGAAAATCGGACTTTTATTTAAATCTATTAAAAAAATACGTGCATCACTACTAACTTTGATTTAATAATTAATACGTTTAGTAATATAATATATTAAATCATTTATTTTCGATCTATGTGACGTTTTTTTGAATTAAGGTTATGGTTATTAAAATATTTGTAATAAACAAGTAAATTTGAATTATTTAGGACAGTTTTTAACTATTTTTTCATTATATTTTAATGTATTAGATTACTATAAATTAATGGATTTTTATAATTTTAATTCACGTTTGTAAAGCAAAATTTTCTAAGCATATAAAGATTTTTTTTAATTTTTTATAATAATAGTTGTTGTTTAATAAGTGGTATACCGTTACTGTCCCGCCTTGGTAGTGCCGACCTGGCTGCGCCAGGTCGGGATTTTTTACAAATTAAATTCTAGGTAACCGACGATTATCCCGACCTGACTTGAATATCCAACCTCTTTTATTTTGTAAGCATTATTCTTAACTGCTTCCTTTATCTTTTTATCTTTTTCTTTTTAATTATGCTATTATATTGCGATTCTCGTATTAATCTCCGTTTTAGCTTGCTGTCTAGACTTGCGCATCCGCCGGACTTACGCACTTTGCATGTTTTGCTCGAACTAAAAGACGTGTCGAATATAATCAAGTGATAAACTTATCACGTATCAAGACCTCTTTAAATATATAAGTAAAAAGATACTTTTTAAGTTCGTCAGATAAAGATTAAGAATCATTTTACTCATCTTTGTTCCTCGTGTTATTATTTAACAAGACGAGAGAGGATATAATTAATTGTGTTTATATATATATATATATGAGCGGCGCAGGTGTGAATATAAAAGAAAATTCGAAATGTATATAGCATAAGAAAGGAACACTTACATAACCTCGACGACGGGTTTAGTTTTCCGGGATAGTAGTGCGGATGGCTGTAGTAATAATAATAGTATTAACGGCGAGCCGGTCCTTCGAGTAACGATTAATTTCGCTTGAGTATCGACGTTCCGAGCATAAAGATAAGAGAGGTTGGATTCGTTAAGGAATTTAGATACTGGATTGCTGGACTGCTGCTGCTGCTATGTGTCGAGGATAGGCTGGGAGTGATGGCAAGCGTCGCAAGCGGAATTGATTTTTTTTTTCTTCTTTTTCTTCTTCTACGTCCCTTTTTACCTTGCTACTACCACCTCCTCTTCTTCTTCTTGCTTTTCTTGCTTTACGTCCTCTTCTTCCTCTTTTTCCACTTCCACTTCTATCTTACCACCACCACTACTACCTCTTCCTCCTCCTCTTCTCCTTCAGCGACGATTATTTCGGCAACGACGACGGCGGCTTCGGAAATTAATAGCGACGAAGAAAAAAATATAAACGACGAAGAAAAAAATGCAAACGACGAATTCAAAGATAAGCGCCCGATAAACTAATCATCTCCGCGGTCCGCCGCTTAGCCGTCAAATATCAGCCGCGCAATCGACGTTTGGAATTGCTACGATATATTAAGTTCGAAATGTGGCGGATATAAAAAGAAAGACCAAAATTTAACAAGGGAGCAATAATGCGCATCTTTCTTATAGTTTTTAAGTATGAGAGTGAATCGGAGTCTTAGATACAATTTCTTATATATTAACGGGAATTTAAAACGAGCGAGATACGTACGGCAGCGTGTTGCGATGCGGTGGATTTGAGCGGTCCGGGTGATATTATGTGTTATTAATAGAAAATAGTATCGAGAATAGTCTTAAATAAATATGAGGAAAGATATCGTATAAGTACTTAAGTAAGTATATGAGTTAATTGATTAGTTGTAAATAGATATAGGTGTAAGCAGAATCTTAAGCGACGAGATAGAATTATAGCGAGGGCGAGGACGAAGGATAGTGAGTAAGTGATGTAATCATTGGAGGTGCAAAGCAACGAAGATTACGGGTGCAGAATCAGCTTGCGGATGCATAGCAAAGCTTACGAGTGCAGAATAAAATACTTAATTAATTCAAACTCGCGATTTATAGACAGCATTATATCTAAGTAGCTATAGATAAACGCGTTTACGGAAAGTATCGGATGTGATCAAGTAATAGACTTGTCACGTACAGCTCAAGCAAGGAATAAGGTTTATCCGATAACGCAAGAATCCGACATTGCTATAGATAAAGCTAGGATTCGGAGGAAGCTCGAGTCTAAAAAGTATTTATTAAATATATGTATATAAAGAATATATATATATAAAGCTTTTTATATTCGAATTCGTCGGTTTTTTGAATTTAATTCGGAAGAATTGATCGATTTGCTATAGCAAGTCGCCATTATCGAGGCGGGATAACCATTAAGGCGGGACAACCACTAAGGCGGGACAACTATCAAGGCGGGACAATCATCAAGGCGGGACAGTAACGGTATACCATTTATTAAATAATGAATATTAATAAAAAAAAAATCTTTATATGCTGAGAGAACTTTGCTTTACAAATGTGAATTGAAAATATAAAAATGCATTTATTTATGGTAATCTAATACATTAAAATGTAATAAAAAATGTAATAAAATTGTAAGTAAAAACTGTCTCAAATAATTTAAATTTACTTGTTTATTACGAATATCTTGATAACCATAACCTTAATTTAAAAAGACGTCTTATAGATCGAAAACAAATAATGTAATCTATTCTATTGCTAAAGGTATTAATTATTAAATAAAAGATAATAGTGATGCACGTATTTTTTTAATGGGTTTGAGTAAAAGTCCGACTTTCGTGTTCTTCGCTTATTCTAGTATTTACACAGCAATTCTGATATATACGCATATGTAAAATCAAGTACATATCGAAAGCACTACTTGTATTTCTATTGCTTTAATTTAACACAATAAAGGAATTACAACTTGCAATTAAAATTCAATTAATTGATTAATATTAAACACAATACAGCGCATCTTTTTATACAAAGATAATTATTATATAACAGTTAGTTGATTTTTTATTTATTAAAAAGGAGCAAATTTTACTGTCCCGCCTTGCTAGGTGTCCCGCCTTGGTAGTGCCGACTTGCTACAGCAAATCGGTCAATTCTTTCGAATCAAAATTTAAGGAAACCGACGATTATATCATTAAAATTAAATGCGTTTTTATATTTTTAATCTATATCTATAAAGCAAGGTCTTTTAAGAATATAAATATTTTTTTATTTTTATTTATATTAATAGTTGTTGTTTAATAAGTGGTATACCGTTACTGTCCCGCCTTGCTGGGTGTCTCGCTTTGGTGGTGCCGACTTGGCTGCGCCAGGTCGGGATTTTTTACAAATTAAATTCAAGGTAACCGACGATTACCTCGATACGTTCAGCACGACCAACTACCTTGATACATTTAATACGTTTACTCGTCTCAATACATTCTGAATAGTCATTCAATCACCTTAATACTTTTAGCAACCTTAGTACTCCTAGTACGCTCAACAACTTCAGTGCGTTCAATACGGTTAGCAGCCTTAATACTCTGAATAGGCCTAGCAACTTTGACGATGATGAATGAGAAGATATATATTATGATAAATATAGATACGATGATAGAGAATGATAAATGGTCTAAGTCCATGTCCAAGTCCAAGTCTAGCTCCCGCCCCGGGTCCAGCTCTCGCCCCGGGTCCAGCTTCCGTCTCAAGTTTAACCTACCTTACGGTCAAGGTCTAGTTCCGGCTCCAGATCTTGCTCCAGGTCTAGCTCTAGCTCCCGTCCCAAGGGAATACAGCTTCCGCTCTAGTTCTAGCTCTCGTTTCGAGTTCAGCTTCAAGTCCAAGTCCAAGTTTAGCTCCCGCCCCAGGTCTAGCTCTAGCTCTTATCCCAATGTAATCTCCCGCTTTAGTTCTAGCTTTAAGTCTAGTTTCCAAACTTACCAAGCTAACCTAGCTTTATTAAGTACATTAAAATCCTAACGTAAAGCTAAGAGCTGGACCGTCCAGCTCTCAAGTCTATATCCAGGCCCAAGTCAAGGTCCAGCTCTTAGGTCCATGTCCAGGCCTAGGTCTATGTCCAGCTCTTAAGTCCATATCCAGCTCTTAAGTTTATGTCCAGCTTCCAAATCCAAGTCCATATCCAGCTTCCAAGTCTATGTCTAGCTCTTAAGTCTATGTCCAGCTCTTAAGTCCAGGTCCAGCTCTTAGGTTTATATCCAGGCCCAGATCTATATCTAGGCCCAAGTCCATGTTCAGCTCCCAAGTCCATATCCAGGCTCAGGTCTATGTCCAGGACCCAGGTCTATATCCAAGCTCAGGTTTATATCCAAGTCCAAATCCAGGTCCAGCTCTTAGGTCTATATCCAGCTTCTAGGTCTAGCTTTCAAGTCCATGTCCAGGCCTAGGCTTATGTCCAGCTTCTAGGTCTATGTCCAGGCCTGGATTTATATCTAAGCCCAGCTTCAAGTCTATTAAGCTAACCTAGCCTTATCAGGTATAGCGAAATCTTAACGGAAAGCAAAGAGCTGGACCGCCCAGCTCTCAGGTCCAAGTCTAGCTCCCGGTCCAGCTTTAAGTCTAGCCCTCGATCCAGCTCCCGGTCCAATTCCAAGTTCAGCTTTAAATCCAGGTTTAAGTCCGGCTTCAAGTCCAGCTTCAGCTTCTAGTCCAGACCTCGGTTTAGCCCCCGATCTAGCCCCGGGTCTAGCTCCCCGGTCCAGCACCAAATCCAGGTCCAGGCCCAAGTCCAGGCCCAGGTCCAGTTCCAAGTCCAGCTCTAAATCCAGATCCAGGTTTATATCCAGCTCTTAGGTCCATGTCCAGGCCCAGGTCTATATCCAGCTCTAGGTCCAGGTCCAGGTCCAGCTCCCAGGTCTATATCCAGGCTCAAGTCTATGTCCAGCTCCCAGGTCTATATCCAGCTCCTAAGTTTATATCCAGATCCTAAGTCCATATCCACCTCTTAAGTCCATATCCAAGCCTAGGTTTATATCTAGCTTCCAAGTCCAGGTCTATATCCAGCTCCCAGGTCTATGTCTAGCTTTCAAGTCTATATCCAGGTCCAGGTCCAGGTCCAGCTCAAGTCCAGCCCCCGATCTAGCCCTTAATCTAGCCCCGGATCTAGCTTTAAGTCCAAGTCCAATTCCAGTTTCAGCTTCAAATCCAACTCCAATTCCAATTCCAGCTCCCGCCTCAGCTTCCGCTCCCGCTCCCGCTCCAAGTCCAAGTTTAGCTCCGATCAAGCTAACCCAGCCCTATTAAGTACAGCGATATCTTAACGCAATGCTAAAAGCTAGACCGTCCAGCTCTCAAGTCCAGGTCCAGGTCCAGCTCCCGCCTCAGCTTCCGCTTTAGCTCCCGGTCCAAATCCGTTTAGCTCCGATTAAGCTAACCTAGCTCTATCAGGTACAGCGATATCTCAACGCAATGCTAGAAGCTGGACCGTCCAGCTCCCAGGTCCAGGTCCAGCTTCTAGGTCCAGGTCCAGGTCCAGGTCCAGGTCCAGGTCCAGCTCAAGTCCAGCTTCAGCTTCCAATCTAGCCCCCGATCTAGCCCCCGATCTAGCCCTCGATCCAGCTTTAAGTCCAAGTCCAATTCCAGCTCCCGCCTCAGCTTCCGCCTTCGCTTCCGGTCCAAGTCCGTTTAGCTCCGATCAAGCTAACCCAGCCCTATCAGGTACAGCGAAATCTCAACGGAAAGTATTGCTAATATCAATCTAGATAATAATAATGCAATCACGAAGAAGCTTTGCTAATGATATTGTAATTAAATGACTTGATTATTTAAGACTAAGAATTAAGGGCGAGGTTGTAGTAAGAGCGTGCCAAGGCTGAGGTCCGTGCACCTTGCTCTCACCTTACACTTTACCTAGCAACTGGACCGTCTAGCTCCTAGGTCAACGTTTAGTTCTGGGTTTAAATCCAGGTCCAGATCTAGCTTCAGCTTTTAATCTAGCTCTTTGTCCAGCTCTTAAGTCCAGGTCCGAGTCCATATCCAGGCCTAGTTCTAGTTCCAGCTCCAGGTCTTAATCTAGCCCTCGATCTAGCCTTGAATCAAGTTCCAATCCTCGCCCCTACCTTAGCTCCCGCCCCCGCCTCCGCCTCCGCCCCCGCCCCCGCCCTCGCCTCCGCTCCTCCTCCCTCTCCTCTTCCAAATCTATTTTTAGCTTTAATCAAGCCAACATAACCCATCCCATCTTATTCCTATCCCGTACAATCAAATCTTCACGCAGCGCATTTCAATCTCAATCGTCATTAATATATATAAATCTATAATATACTTATTCAAGAAAGCCGGTAAAAAAAAAAGATCAAGAAAGTTAAAGGAGTGAAAGGGATAGGAAGGATCAAAGGGTGAAGGAGATGGATAGGATAAGAAGGATTAAAGGGTGAAGGAGATAGAAAAGATAAGAAAGATCAAAGGGTGAAAGAGATAAAAGAAATGAAAGAAATAAAAGAAATGAGAAAAATAAGAGCCTGAACGGAATAACAAAGATAACAAAAACCCAGAATCACAATCCTAATCCTAATCCCAATCCCAATCAAAGCACCCCCCACCATCACCACCATCATCAAAAACCAACCAACCAATCAAATCAACAAAAGCTACTCAAATCCGAAAACCTATTATCAAACATTATACGCGCGCTTTCACAATCAAAAATAAAAGAAATGCTTATCGTCTTTCTTTGAACTTCATTAAAAACAAATCGTAAAGAAACGCATTATATTATATTACTTACATCGAATACATGCAAGTCGCTTACGTATTGCGGGCGGACTTTTTTTGAGGTGCGAATGCATGCATGTATGTATATATGCATTTAAATGCATTTAAATGCTTGCCTTCTTCACAAATCCCAACAATGCATTAATAAAAACATATAAAAATCTTTAGTCGAATAAACATCTATTTAATAAAGCGTAAGCATATATGCATATATACATGCATGCATGCATTCAAAACATTTACGCAATAATCAAATAATTACCAAAGATAAAGATCTATTTCATTTAATTTCAAATCAAATCAAATCAGCTCAAATCAAATACATAAATAAATCTACAGCCGCTGCTTTTCTTACCGAAAGCAGTAGCAGCTAGCATACTTACTGTCTTTAGCGTTATAGCGAATTGTGCTTTTTCTTTATTGAAATGCGAAAGCATATATGTATGCATGCTTTCACTCTTAACAAATGCCGATAATCTATAATCAAAACGAAGAAAGCCGTGGTCGAATAAAGAAGGATAGATATACAAGAAAGCGTAAGCTTGCATGCATAGATAGATGAATAAATGAAAAACATTTGCGGAATAATTAATTAACAAAGGATGAAGAACCGTTTCAGATCAGATCAGATCAGATCAGATTAGATCAGATCAGATTAAATACATAAACAGATCTACAGCCGCTGTTTCTCTCGATGAAAGCAGCAGCTGACATACCTACCTACCGCCCTCAGCGTCATGGCGAACTGCGCTTTTTGCCCTGCAGACGGCACGCCTTCTCGCGATGTACGGTCCGCCTCTATATCCATCCTTATCCTTATCCCTATTCCATTCTCCCTTTCCTCTTTCATTTCCTAGATTAATTTCACTAATACGTATATATAGCTCATCTTCCACGCCCATTCCCCGACGACGTTCCGCTCGAGCTGCCGCTTTACTTGGGCGTCGCACCCGAACAGCGAGCGCCTCTCCGCGATCCTGCACGCGTTCATCGCCGAGCACGACGTGCGCGACGGGCAGAAGAGGACGATGGACCGCTTGGAGGAGGCGGGGGCGTGGGAGCGGCTGTGGGCGGTGCTCGAGGAGGAGGCGGTGTTGGATAGTGGGAAGTGGAAGACGACGATGAGCCGGATCCGGAGGGGAGAGGTGGTTGAGATGATTCGGGTGAAGATCCGGGGGAAGGTGGCGCGGATGGTGATGAGTGGAGACGGGGGGGGGAAGAAGGGAGAGACGGGACGGAGGGGTGGGGAGGAGGGTTTGCGGAAGATGAGGCAAGAGGGGGAGGGGGAAGGGGAAGGGGATTCGGCAGGATTAGCGACCGTCGGCCCGGTTCTTGGCCGAGGGTGCACAGCTCTGATCCCGATGCCGGTATCACCGTCCCCGCCGGTGTCCGCGTCTCGCGAGCTTGTTCTGCGACCCGGCCTCCCGGCTTTGCAGGTCCCGTCGTTGGCGTCTTTCTTCGGGCCATTTCAAGGGCTCGGGGCCGTCCCTTTGCGAAGGAGCGAGATGGATCTGCAGAGGCCAGGACCGGATCAGGCGGAAGAGGAAAGAAGGGAGGAGGAGGAGGAGAGAGGGGAGGAAGAGGAAAAGGAACAGGAGCAGGAGCAAGAGCAAGAGCGACACACAAAGCCGAAACCACCGCAAGAGCAGAAGAAGAGACCGCAACGATTACTAGAGCCAAGACAATCGCAACCATTGAAGCCACGCGGGAGTCCGGGACTGATGGCGGCGGCGGCGGCGGCCACTCCCGTCCCGAACTCGACACGCCTACCAGTCAAGCAGCCCAGCCCCAGCATAGCCCGAGCGTTGCATCGCAAAGATATCGATGCGCTTGCCGACGCGCTCGCGAAGAAAAAGGCGCTCGAAGATGAGTTGGAAAGGGTACGTCTTGATCGTAAGGGTCGTGCGACGATTAGGAAGCCCGTGACGCCAGCGCTGCAAGGTCAGCAAAAGACGGAGGCATTGTTACCAGCGCCGTGTTTGTCTCCGTCCTTGTTCCCGACCTCGTCTTTATCTCCGTCCTTATCTCCGACCTTATCCCCGTCCTTATCCCCGTCCTTATCTCCGACTTCGTCTCCGACCCCGTCCCCGCCCTATGACGAACAGCAGCCCGCTCCATCGCTATTGCCATCGCCATCGCTACTGCCATATCTGCATGCACCTCTCCCCTCTATTGCGTCATTACAAAGGGTCGAAGTGGGAGCGGAAAGCGGGGTCGGGGTCGGGGTCGGGGTCGGGGTCGAAGTGGCTCCAGCTGGGTCAAAGGCTGAGATGCATGGAGCCATCAATGCAGACGAGGAAGAAGCTCAAGAGGAAGAAGCTCAAGAAAACATAAGAGAAGCTCAAGAGGAAGAAGCTCAAGAGGAAGAAGCTCAAAAAGAAGAAGCTCAACAAGACATAAAAGAAGCTCAAAAAGACCCAAAAGAAGTCCAACAAAATACAAACGAAGTCTTCCAACTCCGCACCGACTTCACCCCCCTCTCAGCCTTACGCGCAGCCAACCGCGAGATCGACGCAAAGATGGACATTCTGCGCACCTTAGCGGGCTGGACGCAGCGATAGATAAGATAAGATAAGATAGGTACTGTACCGAATCAAACAATACACTTATTACTCGTCTTACATAACCGTCGCCGTCGCTGCTGCACACCTTTTTTATCGCTTTGTATCAGCCGGCGTTGTACCTATATACCGGTAATCTTATTAATACAATCTTGTAGAACCCCGTTATCTATCTATCTACTTATTCCCGCCGTTAATTAATCAGCTTTTACCGGTACCCGCAACCTAGCTTCAAGATAGCGGATATACCAGCATACCGATAATCGCCGCTCAGCAGTAACGTTCTTTATCGCATTTATCGTAAACTAATAATACAAAAATAGGAATCTTTTAAATATTAAAATCGATTTTATAATTCTCAAAGCCTTTTTTGTTTGATAGTATTACACGTAACACCGCTGCTATTTCCCAACTACCGTTTTTACAAGACGTCGGCGGCGGAATTTCATCTTTTTCTTTCTTTTATCGGCTGGCTGGCTGGCTGGCTGGATAGATGGATGGATTACGACTATGAGTGTGCTATGCTGTGCTGTGCCGTGCATAGCTAAGTTTTGGATTTTGCGCTCGGCTTAGTCTTGTATACATACGTAACGGGAGACGACGGCGTGCGAGATGTTGGTCGTGTGGTTTTTTGTGATGCTTTTGATGTTTTGTAGGGTTGAGTTGGGGAGGTCTTGTTTTTTGGAAGGGTGAGACTTAGATGAATAGGGTGAGGAGATAGGTGTGTTTTTGTGGATAGATGGATGGATGGTTGGGTAGCGCTGAGAGGCTGGAGGTTGGTGTGATTCGGCGAGTGGGAATGGGATTGGGATTAGGATTGGGATTGGGATTGGGAAAGCTGGGTCGCTGCGAGAGGTTGTGCTGTGGAATTGAAATTGCTGGTGTGGTAAGGAGGCTGCTTAGGTTAGGGATTGGGATGGGGAGGGAGGGGTGCGGGAATGGAGATGGGAGTAAGAGATGGGAAATGGGATAGATAGATAGGTAGGTAGAAAAGGAAATGGTTGGATAGAGGGATAAGGGGATGAATGACTGAATGATTAGATGATTAGATGATTAGGTAAATGATTTAATACATGAATAAATTAACAAATTAAATGAATAGATCAGGAAATGAATAAATAAATTAGAAGATAAATAAATAAATAAATAAATAAATAAATAAATAAATAAATAAATAAATAAATAAATAAATAAATAAATAAATAAATAAATAAATAAATAAATAAATAAATAAATAAATAAATAAAT